ATTTGCCCGCAATTTATGGGCAATCCGAGGCGCTCCACTAATTTGTCGTCGCCGTTATCGCTCGTTACCGACCCACCATTGTTTCGTTCGAACTTCATTAATGCATATTAAGCTGCTTTTACATGGTGGAGCCAACGTCACATATCTGGGAGAGCTATTTCCTACTAAGACAAATCAGGTGTAGGTAGATCAGACAGAGCGATAGGGAAGTAGGCACTCAATTTAAAAAGCCTATTTATTTAAATAAAACACTTTAACGATTCCCGGTCCCGGTCTCCCCGTGACCACGGCTGCTGCATAGCATCCGAAACGTCGGGCCGAAGTTAAAAATCATTTTCAAATAAGTTTAACTAATATATCGCGTTTTAAACCGTTAAAGTGTTTTATTTAAATGTGTTCTACTCGCGTAAACTATAGACAGTATTTAAAAAGCCTCATCAAATTGCATAGTGTTTTGCTAATATCGCACTGAACCAAATAGGAGATATTTCAATTAAAAATAATAGTAAATCTCTTAATTTGGCGTTCATTTTGTACAATCATTAGAAGTAGTAGTAGAAAAAAAAAAAAAAATAAATGTAATTACATTTATTATAACTTTTTTTCTAGTTCTTCTACTTACTTTTCTATAAACTAGAACCGGCAACGCAGCTTACAATTAATTATGAATACTACATATAGTTTTAAAAATACGCAAGTGTGGAAGGGTCCTTAGTTATTGTGGACGGGACAAAAAGCAGAACCTGTATATAATGCCTCTAGCCTTGTGCGAATATCACTTAGATTCGAGTCGAAATCGTGTTGTGGCGCTCTCGGAAATAGCCAGGATTTCATTATGTCTTACTTATTTGTTCTCTAACAGTTTCTGGAAGCCCATTACTATGTTTGATAAAGAAATGCAAAACGTGTAAAAAGTTAATAATGAAATGTATTATTACTGTAGTTTTTCTTCGTCGTCGAATTACCTACATATATTTATTATTAATATATTACTTGTAATAAATCTAATATTCGTCAACAATGTTTGTATGGTGTTTATCAATATCTACAAATATTATAGATTTTTATTAACATGCTTACTCAAGACGATAATCAATTGTTTCATATTGCAACTTTTTATGAAAACGTAACCCCGACTATCTTCGTCATTAATCATGACGAAGAATAGTTTATTAAAAATATTCATCCCTTGCGAAAAAGCTATTTACAAAAACCTCTCAACCGCAACTAAATGAAAGAAAACTTGAAGTGGTTCCCAAGTCATATATCTAAGTTTACAGATTCCAGGCTTAACGTATTGTGTAGACAGACTGTAGATAGATCGGTGCTTACTTCTTTTTCTACACTTGCTAATTCCTGATGAATGCTGTGTTAACTAGTTAAACGAACAATGTTGTTCACAGGCGACATAAACATGAATGCATAATGGTTAGTACAAAATTGCAAAATTAAATAACTCGACTACTACTCACCTGGAGTTACAAAAGATACATTTCAATCGAGTATTGGATCCGAAAATTTGTTTAAAATGCGTCTCTGCAAACATACGTACACCGTCCGTAGTTCTGCGAACGGTTTTATTGAACTTATTCCATTTACCATTTACATCGAGGCAGACAAGTTTTAGACGGAGAGTGGATTTACTATTTTCACGTCCCTTTGACTCGTCAGAGCTCCGTTACATCGATCTAATAGTCTATTCGGCTGAGCTTTGTTTACCTTAAGACCATTGTATTGGAATACGTTTCGAATACTTTCAATTATTGTATTGAAATATAAATGATAATGGATTTTATTACTTGAAGGTAAGTTCTATCAAGATTAATATTCGAACTTCTCTCGACTTAAGAGTAGAATTCCAACTTTTAAAGATAAATTAACATTGTGTGTTTTAAGTAAGGCGTGCGATATTTTATTTTAGGTTTAGATATATTCAAAGTGTTTTTTACCTATGTTTTGCTGATTTTTAACTACATGCAAATGTATGTCTACCGCAACATACCACGACGTTAAACTCTAAGCAGATACACGCCGTTTACACCGGTCAACACTTTACTCTCAAAATGCATTACGCGATGATTTCTTACAAGAAAAGTGACGGAAACGCACCAAAGAAGATTCGAATAGTTATCGCCGAGTCGTAGAGCCAAAAGAGGCGCAGAAGGAGCGGAAAGTGGAAATCGCGAGCGGAAAATTCCTCGAAATAAACGAAGCGCATAATCTGCGCGGCTCAAAGGTCGGCCCCACTGTCACACAATGCATTATGCACGAGCCTTTTCGACGCCCGCTTGCCTCATCCATACGAGAACTTTTACAATTTTCAGCGAGCTATTGTCAATAGAGTTTGCCCGTGAAAAATCTGGCTACCGGCTCCAATAGTCGTGTATGTATATTTAGAAACGACACCGCTAGTTTGTTCTATACCATAATAAGCGTACGATATCCTGGAAAATTAATGGGGTAAATTCTTTTTCACTTGAATTAACAAAAGTGGGTTTCATCAAACGTTGCGTCTTATAAAACAATTTAACGTGAGGTGAGGGCGCGGTGAGCCTGCACGTGTATCGCGTTGATATTCACGCGTTAAGTACGCCTGGCTCAATTACCGCACGAGATATAGCGCTTTGCATAATAGATGATAATAGTAAATCATAATATTTGCCAAGAAAGGCTCCCCATATTGCGACATTTACCGCGCCGAGATAATTCCGACTAAGGGTTACCTACTTATGCAAGTTTAAATATTATAATCCATCTGCCATTTCTTTCGTACATCCTTAAATATTGCAATAGGCCAGATATGTTAAGAAAATAAGCTACGATTGACGCTGACCTGAGACAGCTGTAGTACTGAGTCGGTGCTCTTCCGACTGGCTTCTAAGCTTTTGAGCTAGGTTTCATTTGAAATTATCACTGAATTGTTTAGTATTTATTACCAAAACTTGAAATTATTAATTAAATCTCTTTTAAGCGCAGCTAGAATTCATAGTAGCAGAGCGCTGTATTAATAAAGTTTGTGTGAAACTAATTCCAGGCTTAAAATTATTGGGGAAATGTCGCACGAGAAATCGCATTTCAGTTTATAAATTGAATCTATTGTCTCGCAGCGCAGTGTATATCGTCTGGACGTTTCTGGCGAATAGTTGCAGGAATTAATTCGCGCCTCGATCCACAATACGTATTGATCTGGTCGTCAAACGGCCGATCGAGGATATCCTGGCGAGTGTAATTTGAGCCGATGGATCGCTCCCAAACTTTGCTTTTAACACACATTTAGAATAAGCCTGCAAATAAGTCCACATAAGAATATATAGGTAACTCTCTCAATAATAACGAACCCTTTGGAAACAAAGTACCTGCAATTTAGTAGTTTTTTTCTAAACGTTACTAGTGTGTTGATCGAAAGTGGAATAGAGCAGCTCATCTAATTATCTAAACATCTAATTAAGATGCGCAGTCGGCCTATTTATTTCAGCTGTAGACCTTAAATAATTGCAGTTAAGACCCTATATAACAACGCAAACGAATGAAAACCTCTCATTAGCTCAATCAGTAAGTCTTTTTACATTAATTACACTCAGTTTTTTAGAAATCCCTTAAATTCACATATAAAGTATCTATTCACATATAATCTTAGAAAACGACAAATTTGATTTATGTACCAGACACATTCGGGGGACACCAACAGACTCGTGGTAGAATAAGGCCTTTATTTAATTCTAGCGGCCCTGTCCCGGCTTCGCACGGGTAGACATAAATAAGTACTAATATTTAAATTATAAGCATGGTAATTCAAACGACAATGAATCACTAAATTAGAAAAAAATTGTATTGCGCGTCCTCTCTATTAACGACCGTGGTCTATCTCGCTGGTTCAGGAGCCGCTGCGAGCGTTCAGTGTTAGTGTCCCGTGCACGCGTTTGCGAATTCCTAGCTCTATTTCCTTCAAGTCGCTGCGACGATCTTGCATTTTGTTCTGCAAGAGGAACTTGAACGTTCGACGATAGAATCTCTGGCTCGCGATTGGAACGCGTACACTCTAATACTTTCCAGGCAATCATTTTAGGAAGAAGACTCTCCAAAACGACGGACTTTTGCTAATCTCGCTTGGAAATTCTTAGATAGCTGTGACCTAATAATAATACAAAAGAAAACATTCAAGTTCAAAGCGATAGTTCTGCAAAGAACTTTGACAAACATTATGCAAAGTGTGATTCCTAATACTAAAACTAAGTAGCTTTGAAGATAACTTTTTAAGTAAAGCATAAAAATGTAAAAAATGTAAAAAAAGAAAAGAAATATTCAATGTCGTTCGTGCCCACTGCGTAAGGAGCCCACTGCCCCTCTATTGTCGAATTAGTTACTCGATGCGCTGCGTGGCGGCCGCCGCCGGCATGTATTATTATTTTAATTTCATGATATCTTTTGATTGGCATGTCCGATTTGAATAATTAAAAAAGGAATCATTAGGTATTAAGGTAATCTTGAATGTTAAATTATATATTTGGATAAAAATTTATAAACGGTGTAGATAACACGGTCTGATCTTGATCGCCATTTCTATTAATTTGTTTTATGTAAAAAAGTAGTTATAGCTACGTAACTACAATCGTTAGACATATGCTCTCGTGATGTTTTTTGTCCTATCATTAATACTTTTCGCATATTATGCGAAGAAAGACATTTTACGGCTAATTTTTTACGCCTTCCGTTGGTTTTAGTAAGAATTTTTATAGATGACTATAGTAATCAAGTACTAAATATAGCCTATGTTACTCAGTGATAATGTAGCTTTCTAATGAAAAGAGAATTATTAAAATCGGTCCAGTACTTTTTGAGTTTATCCGTTACATACAAAAATACAAATCTTTTCTCTTTATAATATTAGTATAGAAGTATAGATGATCTAAGTCCCACCAGAGGATAGGCTCGCCTGTGGACACTGACTTAAATACAATGTTTTACAACAAATTGTTAGCAATAGAATAATTGTTTTACTGTTAGCAGGTGAGGTTGCGCGCAGGTGTTAGTGTGTACGACCCCTGAAGGAATATATGCGACCGCTTTATTTCCTCCTTTTGCCACCACCCACACCTGAGAGTCGCGTGGAACAACTGATGTGACTCGTAATATTTGCGATCAAATTGCACTCGCTTAATATCAACATCTAATATCGGTGCATCGACGATGCATCTTGGTTCAGCTAATTGTGGCTCCGCCGTATTTGCTTTTCGCAAACAAATATTTATGAGTGAATATTTATTAATAATTAATCGAAGTTAAAATGACGCAAATGACTTAACATTGCAACATAGAAAATGTAACCGATAAGTCATATTACCAAATCGGCACTCTATTATTGGAACGCAGAATCAGTTTTATTTTCGTATCACAGCCGATGACATAAAAAATTAAATAATACCCGTCGGCTCTCACCCGGCGATAAGTTGTTCGGCCACGTAAAATCTGGCCATTGAATCTTTAAGCAGGCCATTTCATTATGAATGCAAATTACCAAGAAGCTATCGACTTTAATTAAAGTACGAAAATACTTGTGCAATATAAATCAAATGTAAGACCATTATAAGTTGGCCTCGCGAGGCCAACGCAATTTTTTCCGTCTCGGGAGAGTGATAAATGGTCGACATGAAAAGGGGAATTCTTCTGAATGGTGTATTATTCTTATATCATGCGACATCTTTTGAGTGTTATTTAATAGACGTTCCCGAGGAGAAAGGAGGTTTTTATTAGCGTCAATTTAGCTTTTATATGAATTTTAGATTCGTTCCCGTCTCGAAGGAATGGAAAATTTCAACGTCGCACTGAAAACTAGTTCTAAGTTAGGTCTCTCGAGATGTACGACTTTGTAGCGATTACAAATTGATTCTCGCGCTGATATACAATGAGGTTTGATTTATTAATCAAAATTACTCAGATAACAGAATACAACACAGTTGCTTAATATGTTAGCGAATCAAGCAAATATAATTTAATTAATACTTCGTTCTGAATCTCGCTTCCATCTCGGCTCACAAAGGGGATTCCAAAACGTTTATCCGAGACAGACAGACAGCACTGTGAACCAGTTTGTAGTTAAACACATTTGGTAGCGTTGATACAACGTGTCACGACAAGTTATATTCAAGTTAAAAGCAACTGTTCCAGCCAAAGTGCGCGTGACGTCTTGCAATTGGTTTATGTCCCCACTGCCTTCACTTTATACTGGCTAACGTTAATAAAGAAGATCTTACGTCGTAAATACGGCGATAGCCTTAATGAGTAGTCGATTTTTCTAACAGTGAATACAGTAGTTGGTATATACATCTATGACAATAGATGAGACAAAACATATTTACAAAACTTAGATGGGAAATGATTACGTTTTACCCAAGAGCAAGTAACGGCGTCTAAGAAATTTATCGAAACCCAACCAATACACCCCAATACGACGCGATCGAAATATGAGGGAGTGGAGTCCGAAAGAACTAAACGGAACGGTGATGTTATTACGTCTGCTTCCGGATATAAGGGATGAGGGTAAACATTTTTATTTGTTTCTAAACCGGCGTTTCCTTCCTGCGTCACTCAAATACCCTGTTTAGCCCTGTCACAATTTATCCCCGCCGGGCTTTTGCTGGCTTACTTCGTGTATCTTGCATTATTTATTTCTTTTTGTTGCAAACACCAGTGGAACAGGACGACATTGGTACGTTTTAGAAATTGAACTATCCATTTGAGATAACTCTAGTAAAAAGACTTTCTTGAATATCAGATTGACGCCTGATTCTGAGAATTCCCATTATCGACATCGACTTCGCCCTTTATACTGCACTTCAGTTTTACTGCACTAAGTTCCTTTACTCTGCTAGTGTTTCATTAAAATGTAATAGCATACCGGAGAACATGGTTACAGTGCAATATTACCTTCAGTAGGACTATTTTAGTATTCATTCAAATGCATTTGTCTCAGTTCCAATAATGTTTTTTGTTACAGACATTAGCTTCATATTAGTTCCAAAAAAGCTACAGTAAAAATAACTACGCGGCATACAATCGGTAGATTCAAGGCGGTAAAGTTTGTAGATGTCACCAGCCAACTGATAGTAATGAGCTGTGGCAGGGTACTGCTCCGGTGCGAACAATAAATCTATCTAGAATTCGAGTAACTCTCGGCGGAATCTTTTAAATGAAAGATAAAAATCTTTTAAAAGCTTTAATTACTTAACGTTACGGTTTAGTTCAAACTACATACTTTGACACCCTTCGTTATTTCTAATAAATAGCTACATTCGGTACATTGTGTATGTAATGAAAACATTACTGTGTTATTATTTTTCCTCTGATGTTCTGAGGATCTAACTTAATATCTATCCGTCACTAATTAGTTTCTCAATAGCTTCCTTGACCTCAGGATCTGCATCTATTATCTTTTTGCCTTCTGCAGAATCGATAGGTGGCGCTTCGCCATGGAAAGTTTCCTCCGTGTAGACCCGGTTAGTTTTCCTCATTGTACCGAACCACTGAAAATGGAATATGATACATTTGTAGGACCTTAGAAAAAATCTACAAATTAAACATTACAGTTACACACACTGCGGCGTTGGTTTTAAAGTTTATTCCGCGATTAAAATGCCAAAGTGAAGCCTTTTATGAGACTCACCCTGTCCCAAAGAGACATATTGAAACCGAAGTTGCAATGGAAAAACTCGTGATGCTTGTCGTGGAACTCTGCGTCAGGTTGCCAGGGTTGCCACCACTGCGCCTTGAAGTTGATGCCCGAGTGGTCGATGATGCCGTGATAGTAAGTGTACAGCACCACTATGTAGAAGGGTACTGTAAAAGATAAAAAGTTTGTGCGCAAAATGTTCCAAATTTATAGCCCAACTTTTATAAAAGCTGCTATACATACATAGAGAAAGATGAAAAACATTGAATACACTTACGCCAATGCACGGGAAAAGTGAAAAGTGGAAGGCAGGCAGTCAGCTGAACATGCATTATCTCGAAGGGGTGAATTGCGGTGACGGAAAACGCGGTCGGCTGCTTATATTTGTGGTGTAGCTTGTGGAAGTGCTTGTAGAGCCAGGGGGTGTGGTACATTCGGTGCAGAATATACGTGGTGAAGTCCTAAAAATATAACAATTTTTGTGTACTCAGGGCCGACGCTTCGAGTTTTCTAATGTCGTGAAATATGTCTATTCATCATTGGATAAAAGCAACAACTGTAACATAATAAACTTTGTAAGAGTCAATTAAATTTTATACAAATACAAATTATTTTAATATTTAAACAATTTGCAAAAAGCCTGCCGCTCTAGATTCTGGACAAAGTTATGAATCCTTCAGTTAATTGGGTATTTATAGCAGAGATTAGAAACCAAATTCATTAAAGGTGGCAGCTGAATAAACAGAGGAAACAGCTGATTTGAGATTAGGTTGCTAAATCCTAAAATAACGGTTGGATATTAAGTGTTGATTTAATATCTACGTATACATGAAGTGGTTCAAACAATTGTAACGTCTCTGTATTTTTACATTTCTACTTTTTCTTGGTATAGGCAACCGTGTTAAATTCATCTTTTTTTACTTAAACTTTAAGCTGTAACAGAAATACGAATGTGTACCACTTACTTGGTAAATAAATATCACCGGGAACTGCAAGAAGAACCACACCCAGCCGTATTCGTCGAACTGGAAGTAGACGGTGGAGGGGTTCCCGTTGGCGATATAAGTGGCGAGAAAGGCGGAGAAGCTGCCCGTCACCGAGAGGGAGACTACTCCGATCATGATTTCGTGTCTCTCCAGTTCAGGAGAGAGCCACTTGGTGGGCTGCAGCTTCCACTCGTGAGGGACGTGGCGACGATTAGTGTAATAGTACCACTGGAATTAGAATATAAAACACACATCTTTTTTTATTGTTGCGGTACTAAGTTACGGTGAAGTTAACGTTTATTTATTATTCGATAAGTATGTGGTTTTAAATTAATTAATTGAATTGCGACCCCAAGCGTCTAGTGCTTTTAAAGGTCCACCGCGACAGTTAATCGGCAGAAACAAAAACCGCATAGTCGTACGGAAAATAACCTATCGCGCAGGTGGGCGCGTGTCCGCTGGAATACAATTTGTTAGGCAGACGTTCGCTGGAACAGAAAAACACTGGAATAAAAAATGCACACTCGCTGAATAGCAGTAAATATAGCCGTGCATTCGTATCAAAGTTTAATTCGAGGCCAGAGAAATAAGTTAGTGGGATGGCCGTTAAATCAGGCTGTGGCGAAAGGTTGACGCCGCCGTGATCTATCGACTTCGTTAGTATTCACTCTGACGGCCGAATAGATTTTAAATTCTAGATACGCCTCGCGTATTGTATGAGATTTCGCAGCGTAGTCCATATCGCCTATACTTAAATCTATATTAGTATAATTATTATTAATTGCAAGCGACAATTCACATAATGATCGTGGACTTACCTAAGTCAAGTATCACGCGCATAAGAAAAAGTCGAGAAAAGAATAGAATATTTTTTCCAATTTTCGTATTGGTTTTTCTTTGGCTATTAGAAGTTCTCTAGATCACTCGTTTAAAATGTGATTTCTACCGAGAAACTCCAACGCGTATTTTGATAGGTAAAATAAATGCTAATTTGCTTAGAGCAATTACAAAACAATTAATTCGCTAGGTTATTTTGATAAAATATTATTCGAGCGCTCAGTAAAATAAGGGCAATTTCACGTTTATTGCGATTATAATCCTCCGAACAAGTTACGTTTTGAATGTCTAGAACCTTTTAATAGGCTTAATTCTGAGGCAGCCATGCTTATCTGCGAATAATTCGTTGCTAACGAGTATTCGTTAGTATTATGAAACTTTGTCCAGACAGACATGTTATGCCTACTTGTTGAAATTACTAAAATCACTATCGAGTATAGTTAAATGCTTAATCACATAAGACAATGTTCCTTAGCCCACGTAGATGCTAATATGGTGTTTGAATATTTTATGATAAACAAAACACATTCACATTAAAATTACAATCATAAAGCTGCTTTTTTTCTTTAAATAAAACCAACGAATTTTAATGAAAATTTAGTCAAAGTAGCCATCATCATCATTTGGCAAATAAAAAAAATAGCCTTTAAAGAAACATTCGTTGTTGCTGCGATGTCGACCTTTCCTAATTTCTTCCATTCCTTTTTTATACGCTTAACTAGCTCTAGTCGCGACTTCGTCTGCAAAATTCCGTAAAATAGTTATTTTGGCATCATAATTAGTTTTTACATCTGCCTCTCCCCATGTCTATAAATGTGAGCTGTTACCCACGACGTCGTCCTTGTCCCGTCGTTCTTGCAAGTTAATCTTTAAAAAAAATAGACATATACTTGTTTTTTTTATCGTTTATAATCGAGAAATAAGTATGTTATACATACTTTTTTGGTATCTTGCACCGTCGTGCAGCACACGAAACCAACGAAAACCCACATGGATGTATAGTTTACCCCGTTTTTTCCACATTTTCCAATATTCTATCCTATTTGATTGCAGTGTTGTGTTTTATAACCTAGATAGAGCCTTTCTCGGTAAATGCTCTAACCAACAATTGCAATAAATAATATATGCTCAATTCGAATATTATATATAATAATAGTTCTTGAGATTCATCGATCGTCGATTCAGCCGTTCTGTGTCCACTGTTCCCCCATAGACTTCCAGTACGACCTATCGTTCGCTAGTTAAATCCAGCGTTTCCCTGCTACCTTGACCAGGTCGTCAGTCCACCTGATGGAAGGTCGTCCAGGTTTTCGAAGTCCGGTACGTGGTCTCCACTCCAGAACCTTTTTGCCCCAACGGCCGTCAGTTCTACGAGCGATGTGCCCAGCCCACTGCCACTTCAGCTTGCAAATTCTACGCGCTATGTCAGTGACTTTAGTTCTTCTACGGATCTCCTCATTTCTGATTCGATCTTCAGTTCTTCAGGAGGGATTTGTCACCTTTTTTAAAGAACAGGACCACTACGCTTCTGGTCCATGCCTCCGGCGTTGTGCCTTCGAGCAAGGTGGAGGTAAAAAGCCTCTTAAGCAATCTGAGAACTGGTGTACCGCCAGCTCTCAGTACCTCCGAGGTGATTCCATCATCACCTGGTGCCTTATTGTTCTAAGCTGTTTTAGGGCCATCCTAATCTCGTATAGGCTGATGTCCGGGATGTCTTCGATGTAGTGTCGGGTAAGTTTGGCTCTGGGGTCTATCGCCGTTCTCACGACGGGCTTAGCAACCGACGAGAAGAGTTGCTCGTAAAACTTTTCGACCTATTTCAGGACTTCTGGCGTGGAGCTAACTACAATACCATCCTCCTTCTTTAGCCGGGTCAGCCGGCTTTGCCCAATAGACGTATCTCTTGCCAAGACCTTCGCACCTTTGTTACGCCGTACCGCTTCCTCAATAGTTCTTGAGATTACCGCGTTCAAACAAACAAACTCTTGAGCTTTATAATATTAGTATAGATTTATATATTTTGCGATGAGTTTTCCGACCATCCTGCATTCAATGTTGTTTAAAGATGTTGCTCCACCCTGTGATCTCATGGGATCTTTTACTTTAAATACCCTCTAGCGTTTCGTTCATAATGAGGACTTACGTCTTGAAGTTTAGTTTTCTTTCTAATCTCATTCACAAATATCTTTCTTTCATTATTTACCTTTGGTAATTTTTCTCTCCGTCTGCCTTCCTACGGGACTCTATCTGACGATTGACTAAGCGTTACGTCGGCCGATGCTATTTGCAACGTCGAAAACTTTTTCTTCGTGTGCGTAGTAAATAAATCTTAAGAAATACTAAATTGCTTAATATTCAATTTACCGCCTCCGTGGATTAAAGGTTAAACGCGATGCCTGGTATTGAGTTAAACGAGGTCTTGAGTTCCACCCCCGGTCAATATTGGTTGGACTGATATGTACTTAACTTAACCAGTGCGTGAACGATAAAAATGTGTCTTACGGTAGTGTTTTATAATCATACATACACATTTATATTACGTGTTTCAGTTATTATCCATGAATATTTTCTGATACTAAAGACTGGATTTCTCTTAACACAGTTTCTTTTTATAGATTAAAAATGCCAAAACCTCGTTGGTCAACATTGGTTTCGGTACTAGTTGGCGCTAGAATCAACATATTACGTACTTACATACAGCCTGCATGTCTGTTTAGGCTTGTTCGGATAAAAAGTAACAACGTACATGTAGGAATCCCCCGATCAGGAAATAAGTGCTGTATGACACGCAGTGGGCGGCGATGAAAATGATGGAAAGGTTCTCCATCTTCAGCTTTTCCAAAGTGAAGAGATCGAATATCTCCGCCGCGCTGACGTTCCGGTCGCTCTGCGTATGCCCATTAAATTGCTTTAGCGCTGTCACAAGGATCACCACCCATTCTCCTGAAAACCATCACTCCTAATTAATAACACTGTTCGTAGCTTTGAATCCAGAGGAAAAAAAATTAAAGACATCACACTCAAATAAGTACCGCTCAATGGCAAAGGTTATCAATCAGGTATGTGACCGATTAGTTTTGTTTTTATAATTCCAAATGGAGTTGATAAAGATTCAGTTAATATTACGATAACGCTTCATTGAAAATTCTCTTGGAGGCCAATTACTAGACATATTTTTGTCCAATCAATCTAATTTAAATTAAATTATATGTTCTTTCATAAATATCCCGATATAAAAATTAATGGAATTTAGTCAACCGTATTTTTATTGCTGTATTGTATTGTTAAATCTTATTTACCCCTTAATGTTGAACCAAATGTGAAAATTGCCAAGGTTGCAATAAATGTACTGATAAAGTGCGGGAGCCTTTCGAAAAAATTTTCAGCGGACTCGGCGTGTTTCTCAATCCATTTGAGACCGTCTGTAATGGGGTCCCATTCTTTTGAATTTTCTTTATCATTGTCCCGGTTCACTTTGGATTGCGTAGTTCCATTGTTAATTAACCTCTTTGTTATATTTGCCGCCATGCTGGAATACAAGTAGCAGATATTACTAAATCATTACGTCATTCCTTACGATTTGGAGTAACAATTATCTTCACGTAACATTAAATTAGGTTGCGAATTTTTTATTTTAAAACGTGATATTATTAAAAAACTTACTTTTAAGCAGAAAGGAAAAATATGAATATATTCAACGAGGTCCAAACGTCATGTTCTCAGCGCTGTGACTTTTAAAACCGAATAAGAATCACGACTAAATTGAAGATGATAATGATGTTTTGAAAAATTTGAACCTTTATCTTGCGGTTAACAATAAAAAGACGGTAAAGTGCGAATAATTTTCACGTTACAAGGTTTTGCGATTTTAAACTTAACTGACTGAAATGAATGTCATTACAAAAAATATAGAGCTTTACAAAACTGTTTTAGTTATGATGATTGTTAGGTACTAAGTACATAAATAATAGTTATTCATACCTCCTAGGATGTAAATAAATGGAGTTGTACATATTATCGTCTTAATAATACTATCTGTTTTGTTTTTTTTTCTGTTTAAATAAATAAGTTTTTAGTGTAGTGTTAGTTTTTACATATTCATATTATTCTTGTAAAATTATAGCTTTCAAACTCTGCGTGGTGACAATACCTATTAAAGATTAAAGCCCTTTAGGTTAAGGTTTAATACTTTAGTAGTAAAAAAATCCTGTTTACTTTTTGAATACTCCAAACATAACTTATATATAACAAACAACAATTACGGAACCCTAAAGCTTAAAATCCAATATTCTCAACAAAAGATTTCTTATTAGCGTTATCGCCGCATTGTATTTCTACTATGGGTCATAGAAAACAGATTTTAGGTTCATTGAATTGTAGCTAAGAATATAAATCGTGTGTTTTTCTTATTATAACACATTCTTACAAAAGTGGATAGAGTGCCTACTCTATTATTAATTCACTCTTCTTTGTACTCTCTCTATTAGCGTAAAATAAAAACTACATAACACTGGAAAAATAGTCGGTCATGGTTGATATTAGTTTTGAAGACTTTCGCTAGATGGTAGCTTTATCAATATTTTAATTAGAATTTTAAAATATGTATATAATAATTTAGGACATATTATTTAAAATTTTTTTTGTAAATAAATAAATTTAGGAATCTTTTAAACAAAAACTCATTAATAGTAATTTGTAAAAAAATCTTTTGACAAGTTTATGGACCTGACGAGCAATGCCCCGTTTCTAAATTAATAGTAAGTAGGTATTTGTATCCGTTACCTAATGTGATTTTTGGAACTTATTAAAAACACACTAGTTTTATGTAACCATCCCTGTCCTGTTCATTTTCTCTCTAACGGGTCCTTATGAAACCAAAAGTTTGCTTTTTATTCTTTTCTTTATACCTATTGCCAGAACTAGTACTCTGTCTGTAAATGTTTGTACTAAGAGCAAGTCTTCCGAATACGGATATTTTTAGTTGTTATGATTCCCGATAGATGTCGCTTATAACAATAAAATAGATGTCTGTAAGTCACTAAGGTAATGTTTAAAATCGCATTATAAACCTGTTAATGTTTTTGAGGTTTCACAAAAATCTACAATAATTGAAGTTCATAAAGAGGTTTATTAAAACATAAAGCAAAGGCAAACAACCTAAACAAGGAAATTACCTAAAGGAAAACAATGATTTTATCAACGTTCTCTGTGAGTTCAAAGCAAAGCTAATAAATTCCACTAGGTGGCGTAATTTAATTTGTATCATACACTTAGACGAATTCAATTGCGGTTAACAATAGAATCTTACCACTAGTCGTTACAGTTTCGAAGTTTAACTAAAGATATTAGATCTTAGTAAGTAAATCAGGGATTTACTAAAAATTGTATATGTTACCAGATTTTTGTTGTTATTCTTCTTATAATTCTCTAAAAATTATCATTTTATTGACACGTGAAGTGTAGGCATAACAACGACTAGTTTTATGAGCCAATAAAACACAGTTCGCTGCTGCCTATCGCTCGGCGATCGCAACAAATTGCACGTGATCTATCTAGCGACATTAATGCTGACACCACATTCACACATTCGTTCAGGACATTTTTGCAATTCTTCGCTAAGTCAAAAAACGCTAAGATGTTATCCCCTCTGGATAGGGAATCGTCAAGATTTAATTCTTAATTTCGAAGATCGGACTGCACGACCATGTTGCTTGCTCTTTATTAATAAATTACTAATCTATACATACAGTGAAGACTACTTAATTTTTTGTTCAATTTAACTCTACGTTATTGTTTGTGGCAGATTTTAGTGATTTTCAATACCTTCGAATTAGCGTTCCTCCACACACAAACACAAAATATTAGTAAAACATATTTTTTCCGTTTGTACGCTGAAAGTCCTTCATGTTTCATCATTATTATTCTATTGTTTTCTTATAATGTGTATAGATTAACATTCTACTAAGGACTCGACAGATATCGCTTGCCAATAATAAACCCTTACAGATAAGATAAACACAAGATGGCTGAGACTAAATATGCGAATACAACACAATATTTTAGTAATTTTAAGCGGTAAACAAGAGACTAAAAAGCATATCGGGGTGTAAAGATTTTCTATAATTTTATAAGTTATATTTTGACATAAAAAAATATCAATGCAAAAATAATGTTATATTCGGTAACGATTTTAATAGAAGCAAAAAATATTTCCCTTGAACGTGAAAGGGTTAATAAAACGGATTTCATTTATTTTTTCAACAATCATTTCAAATATACTAGAATAGTCTATAATAACAAGTAAATTTTATAATTTTTGATCTAAATATTGTTGGAATGAGGCATCCGTTTTACCACGATCGCGGTGGTAGAGGTGATTGAAGTGAAATGTAATAACGAATTTGTCCCATCAAAAACTGTATCATTGCCCCCCCTCGGACAGCCTTCCGCCGACCGCTAGCTAGATTTTATCGGTCCTTCCGACCATTAAACCGGCCATAATGAACTTTCCCCGGCAATGCAGTGGAGCGTTCGCAATGATTTACAGAGACAATAAAAATCTAAGGGATGTAGACGGTTGCGCCCTCGAGAAGAAAGATGATGCGCGGCTGTCCTGAATTGTTTTATTGAATTATTGCCATGACATGCCGCCGCGTATTCTTACTAGTTTTTTGCACACAAAATTACGGTTTGACTTCGCCAGATTTTGTCTTCCGATAGAGTGACACGTTATATTGCATACGGTGTAAAATGCAACGTACTATCCAACATACATCCAAACCTTCAGGTAAGAACGCCGACTTAAAAATACCTCACCATTGAATAATTAATCTCGTGTTTAATCTTTAAAAATAGCCCGCCGTTCCCATTAGAAGCCCATTATGTTCGGTTCAAAAATCACGAACTCATTTCTGGTGATCTAAATAACAAAGACATTGATTTTAATATGAACATTGATAGCGAGTATCAATTTCGTGAGTCAGGCTTTACCCCATGAGGTCTCGGCGCTCATTGTGCTACCCTGGAGCTGTAATCCTATCGCCAAAGAATCGCTTATTCGGAGATACGCCAAATGAGGGAATGGTCTGTGTACTGTAAAGGTCAGTGTACAAATACCCCTTTTTTGTGAAAATTAAAATAAATTATCACAATGAACATGGATACGCTGACAAAGTATGCGCAATATGGTTGTGTTATATAATAAATATCTAATTATATACTAGTTAACGTAGGTATATACAATAATTTGGTAGGAACGTAGGGTTTGTTCTTGTATCGTAAAAAGCAGGTTTGCGTCCCGTTTGTCTCACTCTCGTTCTGTGTTAACTCTTTCTTGGCACTCTTTATAACCAACGCATAACAAGATCATTTATCGTTTCCGTAAGGAAAAACGCAACAAATGATTTGTGTACTGGTAAAAGTATATTTAAAGCGAGTCCAGTGACCTGCAATACGACTTAATAATTTTTACTTTGACTTTATCAGATGTAGTAAATATTCTTTGACGACCAAGAACCCCGGGTAGCGTAACCCCGCGGGAATCGGCAATATTACCGACTCATTATTTTCGAGTGTAAAACTCAATAATAGTATAATGATGAAGCAACTCTTACTTATTGCCCCGTAGCCCCCGTGGGGGGCCCCGACTGGGGTTACGGGTTCGGTTTTTAATGTTCTTATTTACCAACATTATGTAAGCGTATAACATATAGGGTATTTCATTCATGTGTACAAATTACTAGGGCAACGTAGTGACGTCAATGCGAAACATGAATCGCGATTCCTTTTAAGCCTGTTTATTGTGATCGGTAGTCAGGCCAGTCGTCTTTCACGTTCGCATCGACGAGTCGGCGTACAACTTTTCGATAATAACAAATTGAAATAGTCCGATTGCGGTGAAGTATGGCTGCAATTAAGGCGGGGGCTATAAATCGCACGTATCTGATTTGCAACATGGAAGAGGCGTATAGTGCCGCCAGCGATGCGTTAAGCTCGAGATGCACTCGGTTGAAAGCCCGAGAAGCTTTGGAATATGGCTGAATGGCGAAAGCCTTAAACAATTTATACCCACTTACAAGTTTGTTTTAGTATCAGAAGGAAAAATAAATAGGAGTCTTTTGATTTTTAGTTTCTATTGAAATACCAACCAAACCCGAGTTCTATTCAGTTAAATCTAAATAATGTATTACTATAGCATTAAGTACAATTTAAAGGCTACTTTACTTCAATACACAGTTGCAAAAGCAAAGTTAAAAAAACATAAGCTTTTGTTAAATCTGTTGTAAGACGCATAACCTATAAGTTTTAATACATGATAAAAGACCGTAAACCCGAGTGTACCTCCAACTTAAAATAGCCCGAATGCATCATGAATGCACATATGGACGTCGCATGACGTCCGACGCACCCCTTTAAGTGCCCGTTCGACGTGCTAAAGAATATATTAGCGGAGATACAACAAAACCTTCCGTCCCTCTTTAATGTACGACGATAAACAGAGATGTAAAGCCCTTTAATTACATGCAAAA